GTCCTCTGATTCCAAAACCTGCACTATATTTTCATTTCTCATCTATATTGCTAATGAGCTTGTACTTTTTGCCAAGATATCATAAAATAAAATGTTGGCATTATCCATGTAATATATTGAGGTGCAATTAAACGGTTGATCAATGATTACTTTAAAATTATTTATTTAACGTTAAGGGAGCAGGGACGGTACAGTCATCTAGCTCATTGCTAGTTGTAATATTGAATGCCATCGCCTCGTATCGGTCCTCCGATGCTTAGTCGCCGCAAATTCACCACGCATGTGCATGGCGATATATTAATAACTATAAAGACTGTCGCAATCATTATACAGGATGTCACACCCCCACTTCAAAATGGAAAGTTTTCCTTACATGTTTATCAAGGACCAAATTGGTGTGTACCAATAAGTGGTAGGTATGATCTCCTGGATTCCTAAAGCTGATCACACTTTCCGTTATTAATAAACACTGACAACAGTGCCCATGAGTGTCTTAGAAACAATTTGCAAGTTATACAATCCACAAGAGTAATAAATGTAATTACGCAATAACTCGTACAACAATACAAACTATACAAAAATACGACTCATATACAGGCTGCGCAATTGATGTGATTACGCAATAACTTATACCATGATTCGACTGACTGAGTTTCCCAAATGCTGAGTCGAGACTTAGTTGAACACCTTCTATGTGTCTTTGAAAGGTGGTACCGCCCCATTAAATTCTTCCTTCGTGTTGCGAGATCGTCGGGTTTTATCTAAACTACATTCACCTAAATTAGTAACAATTACATTTTTAAACTTATCCTGCCATGCTATTCAGAGTCCGACAGGGATAGGAATTCGTCATCAGATCCCACAACATAGTCTTGAAATTTTGAGGGTTTTGCAATTTTTCTGGTGGACCTACGGCCCAAACACGATTCTTTACTTTTTGGTTTTGAAGATTTTGCAAAGTTTTCTGGATAGCATGGCTGGTCATCACTAATCCTATTATCTACATTTACACTGACACTTACTCTACGTCCCTCGTCAATTTGCTCAATACAATCCTTAGTTTCAATGTTTGTCAAAACGCCAGAGCACGGGTCAAAATTTGAATTACCTGAAGTACAACTACTGGTATTAGTACTGGAAATATCAGCAAGGGTGTCCTGAGAATCATTCCCCTCAGAAGACCGGTCTACCCCCATGCTGATGCTATCCGCAGAGGAGGAAACGATCCCCAAGGCTGCATTGATCGGCAAATTCACGAACTAATCAGAGTTCAACTCACTACTTTTATGAAATTGAGGTTTATTTTTGTTTCTTAAATCCGTTTTTCCACTGTGGCTGAAGTTCAACTCTCCTTGTTATGGTTTCTATAATCCTTGATCAGGACCCTTTCCCTCACTTCAAATTCTCTTTTTCGGCCTCCATAATTTATTATTTGTCTGTCTCTTTGAGTTTCTGTGTTTGGGTTTACCATTTCGGTTGGAGGTTTTCTACAAGGTTGGCTCTCTTTTATTTGTGATATAATTGTTCTGGGTTCTCTTCCATACATTAGAAGGAAGGGTGTTTTGCCAGTTGTTGAATGTGGAATTGTTCTGTATGTAAATAGGAATCTGGAAATCAAAGTTTGAATTGGAAAATTTGAGTTTCTTGGGTCATCAAGTGCTGCCTTAATTTTTCCTTTGAAAGTTTTCACGGCATTTTTTGCGAGAGTTTTTTTTAATTTTTCCTCAGTTTCGTAAGCTGAAATTTGTTTCACCTGGAAACATTCCACCCATTTAGTGTACGAGTCCACGATGACGAGATACATCTTTCCTTTAAACTCCAAAAAATCGATGTGTATTTTTTGAAACGGTCTGCTGGTCAATTCCCACGGAGTCAAGTCTGTTCTAGGTGGGTTTTGTTTATTTACCAAGCAAGGAAAACATGCTCTTGCCAAATTTCCAATGTCATCATCAATCTTCGGCCAGTAAACTAAGGATCTAGCAAAAGCTTTCATCTTGCAAATACCCATATGGCCAGAATGAATTATTTCTAATATTTTTAGTCTCAATTTTTTTGGTATTGTTATTCTATGACCCCATAGTAGGATGTTCTTTTCTATGGATAACTGGTTTCTTCTATTGTAATATGGCAAAATATTGTCATCTATGTTTTTAGACCATTTATTGTTCTTCACATTTTCTATGATTCTTGTAAGATCAGGTTCTTTTTCTGTTTCCCTTTTCACCTCCGCATTGTCAATAGGCCATTTTTTTTGAGATTCGGTGAAATTTTTGTTTTCAGAAAAGTGTGGGTTTTCCATGGGGTTTCTGCTGAAATAATCTGCAAGTTGGTTCTCTGAACCTTCTATATATTGAATTTGATAGTTAAACATTGAAAAAAAAGCTGCCCAACGTTGAACGCGATTTGGTGACATTTGGGGTATTTCTTTGTTTTCACCAAAAAGAGCTACCAAGCATTTGCAATCAGTTCCTAAAATAAATTTAACACCGCACAAATATTGATATAAGCGTTTGACGGTATAATAAACTGCAAGTGCTTTTTTCTCTACTGTAGCCATGGTTCGTTTTTCACAATCAGACAGAGTTCTGGAAACGCAAGTCACGGTTTTTTTTTGGCCGTCTTTGATCTGTGATAAAACCCCAGAAATACCCACATTTGAGGCATCACAAGTAACATTTATTGGCAAATCTGGGTCAAAATGCATTAATACGTTATCATATGATATAATCTTCTTTATTTCCCCAAAAGCTGTGTCACATTTAGTTGACCATTGAAATTTTGTATTATTTTTGAGGAGGTTGTAAATTGGATGTAACAAGGTGGATAAATTTGGTATAAATTTAGAATAATAATTGACCATTCCAGCAAACGATCTTACCTCGGACACATTCTTCGGTATTGGTGCTTCTTCAATTGCTTTAATTTTGTCGCTTGTTTTCTTAATGCCTTCTTTGCTAATTTAATGACCTAAATAATTTACTTATCTCTGAAAGAAATAACATTTTCCTTTTCTCAATGTGAAACCTGCCTCTGTCAACCTTTTGAAGACCAACTCCAAGTTTTTCAGGTGTTTCTCTGTGGTTTCTCCAGTGATGATTAGGTCGTCCAAAAATGAACATACTCCATCAATACCCTGTATGAGCTGGTCCATTATACGTTGAAAAATGGCTGTAGCCGTTTTAATTCCAAATGGTAATCTCTTGTGGCGAAAAAGCCCCAATTGGGTATTCCAGGTTAAGATTCCTGAGGTTTCTTCATCCACTTCTATCTGGTTGTATGCTGATCTGATGTCAATTTTTGAAAAATACTCTCCCCCATTCAACTTGGCAAAAACTTCCTCTATTCTCGGTAATGAATAGATGACCTCTTCTAAGAATCTATTTAATCTTCTTTTATAGTCACCGCATAATCTAATACTTCCAAATTCTTTCAATACTGGAACTAACGGAGTCGCCCAGTTACTATTTTCCATTCTTTCCAGAATACCCTCTTTAACCATTTCAGGTGCCAAGGGAACAAGTCAGAATTTACAAAAAGTTGGTTTATAGTTTTCTTTCAATTCGACATGAATTCTACCATATTTATATTTACCAAGTTTATCAGAAAAAAGTTCATTATTGCACTGAATAAGTTTGTTTATTTTATCATTTACTGCAATATTATTAGTTAGTTGAATCCTTACCTGGAACGCTTTCAACCAATCACAGCCCAAAAGGTTAGGTCCCCCTCCGCGAGCAACATATATTTTAAGAACTTCAGTTCTGTCTTTATAGGTGACTTCAGGCAAGAAGTGGCTCTCAGCCTTCTCCGTTATACCCTTTTAGTACTGCGGCGTCTTGAGTAAGCCTGTAACCCGAAAAATATTTAAGGTATTTTTCATAGCTACATGCGGATATTGACGATCTACTGTCTAAAATAAAATTATGCTCCCTATTGTCAATTTTTATTTTTATACACCGTATAAAACGGGGATACTTTGTGACAAGGGGGAAGCTTTGTGACATTGTGGAATTCAAATCAAATAAGTCAATACGTTTTAAATTCCGCGTGCCAAGCCAAATTTTTCTACCGACAGGTGAAAGCACATACCTCACCCGCTACAAAGACCGCTCGGCATGCTAGTACGCTCCCTTGGTAACTAGCATTCTGATTCGAAGGGAGCATCTCGATTTTGCAACTTTTTCGAAACTCCCAAAACTTTCTACTGTACATCAGAATCTAAACAATCCTCAGAGAAATTCGTAAGACTTTCCAATTGCTTGGATACTTGTCGGGATATCTACGTGAAATCGCTTACGATTTATTAATTTGACCCCTTTTTTTTCAACAATAAACAAAACAGAGGACCCTTCCGGGGCAACTTTGTGACATATAATTAGTACAGAAGAAACTTATGCTCAACCTAAAACAACGCTAAAAGGATCGACATGTCTCCTAATGTGGACAACTTCCTATTGGTGGAGTTCACATTCCAATTTCTGGCTGAATATGAGGGTGATAAATACTATATCGTATGATATTCAATTAAAATGTAAAATGTCTAAATCAGTATATACCCGTGTTTTTAATATCAGAAAATTGTCAAGCAAATATTTCTTGACATTTCCTATCGTTTCAGACTAAAAAAGACAATATGTTTTCATTGTACAAACGCACTTTCACAGAGTTACCCCGCATCACGGGGTAAAATTGGGACACTTTCAAATTAAAAGCTGTATTATCAATTTTTTTTCAATTTCCTATTATTGCTATTTTGTAGCGAAAGGACGGATATACATAGTAAATTTTTTTTAGAGTTTTATGTGGTAAAGAACTGTTTGAGAATTGCAAAAAACCTCAAAATCTGTCAGAAATATCCCCGTTTTACGGTAAATGTTTTTGCGAAAAGGTGAATTATCATTGCACTTATTATTCACATTCCTCCAAAAAATGCGGTGGTATTTTATCACTGCTATTGATTGAATTAAAATTTTTGCACTTACATATAAGGTTGCGATTTTTCATTTCACTATGTGCCTTTGAAGAACTTTGGCAGTTTCATCAGAATCACTAGCTTCATGCATTATTTCAAATCGTGGATAGAAAACATGTCTTCCTCCTCTACGAGGAGCAAAATCGTGAGGGGTAAAATTATTTCTATATGTAATATTAATGTCAGAGACAAACTCCAGAACAATTGTAGCAAGTTCTACTTTTCCCTCTCGAGAAGCGATGTGAAGTGCAGTGAATCCATTTTTGTCCCTAACATTTACATTGGCTCCTTTATTCAAAAGCATTGTGGTTATGTTTCGATTTCCCTTCTGAGCTGAGATATGAAGTGCTGTTCTGCCATATTCATCTCTAGAGTCAATATCAGTTCCAAATTTCAAAGTAGTCTCAATAATCTCTTGATGACCTTCCAAAAAGAAGTGGTGCGTTGTGAAATTAAACTTCAGAATCAAATTTGGCATTGCATTCTAGCAATAGTTTTACAACTCCTGCATGGCCGTTTTGAGCTGCAAGGTGCAGTGCAGTGATTCCATTTTTTCCTGCAGCATTTACATTGGCTCCTTTATTCAAAAGTATTACGCTAGTTTCTAAATTTCCGTCCTGGGCAGATATATGAAGTGGAGTGAAGCCACTTTTCAGGGACAAGTTAACATTTGCATTGTATTCCAAGAGAACTTCAACAACTTTTGCATATCATTTTTTAGTGGAAGAAAGAAGTGTTGTTTTAACATATTTAGTTTGAACGTCTACATGGGCGCCTTTACTTAGAAGCAGTTTGGCGATTTCTCCCTTAATATTACTATCAGGCTCTTTATTATTAAAAGAAAAGACTGAAAAATTATCAGAACATAGAGAGGGGAAATAATCTCGGACTCGGAAATATTCATGCTGATCCGAAGCAGTAAAATGCAATGCTGTTCTTCCGTAGTTATCACAAGCATTTATATCAGCATCATGTTGCAGAAGAGCTTCAACGATTTCTTTGTATTCTTTCCTAAGAGCAATATACAATAGCTCAGGATCATCTTCAACAATAGCTCCATTAGTTAAAAGTAGCTCGATCATTTTTAAATCAGCATTTTTAGTAGCATAAAATATTGGCGTTTTTCCAGTTTCGTCTTGAGTATTTAGTTTAGCTCCGTAGCTAATCAACAATTTAGCTATTTCTTCCTGTTTTTTTTGGCTGCATTATGTAAAGGTGTTAAACCTCCTTTAGTTGAATTGTGTAACATATTAATCTCAATATCATACTTTAATATGTCTTCCAGGGCCGGCCCTACCATAAGGCGAACGGAGCGGGCGGTCCAGGCGCCGGGTCTCGGGGGGCGCTCCGACTCGTTCCTTGGTGATAAAAAAGGAAAGAAAGCAAGCGTGTGGTTAGCATGTGATTAGATAGATAGAGACATATCATATTACATAATAATATGTAATGTTTTCGAATTTTGAATCGGAGAGGATGATGGTTGATCTTGGGTAGCAGCTTAAGCTATCTCCACTTGATGTTTCTGACAGAATTTGCAAATTAAAGCAGTGTCTCGGTGTTGGGCCAGTTGGCATACCATTTGTTTTTCTAGCCTGGCAAAAGTCCTATGGTATTTCAGTTTTTAAAAATGGAGACAAATCAGACATTGAAAATTATCGAGCAATAACAAAGGTCTCCTTGGTAGCCAATGTTTTTGAAGGTATTGTTGCAGATAAAATCGCCCCACATTTTAAGAATGTCATTATCAATGGACAACATGGTTTCATGAAGGGATGATCCACCATAACAATGATCAAAATCCATGCTCGAGCATATAGGTACTTCATTCATACATATAAGGAATTCATTTGCATTTTATTACTATTTAATAGTCATAAGCAGGAGCTGAAACTCAGCAGGAGGTAGATCTTAGAGGTAGTTAGGGATATGTGTGAGTTGTACTAGCCCAATGCTCTGGTTTCTTATTTAAAATTGGCAACCCACTTTTTTTACCTAATGACATAGGTAACTATTCCCTTACCGGCACGTTGGCGCTTTGATAAAGGATGACAGGACGCCCTACTCAAAGCCAAGCAACGTGGTGTCGGGATGGAGATTGGATGGGTGACCGCAGTAGTACGGGTCGAGTAGATCGCCCGCGCTGCCGCCAATCATCTAATCTGCAAGTATGAATGGGAAGGAGTAGAGTCCATACAATGAGATACAAAAAGCCTTTAAGGCTGCAGTGTTGAGTATGGACTCGAAAAGGTGAAAACAAACAACAACAACAATACTATTCCCTTTGTTTTCTTCAGTATAAGGGGTATAGGCACGTGACCGAACACAGTAAATGAGGCAAATAATTTATTGAATGTTAAGACATTTCTTATATCGGTGAATAGAGTATACGATTCACATTTAAAATAGGGGCGCCAAAGTAGGATCTCGCTCCATCCTAAAAGTAACCTCGGGCCGGCACTGATGTCTTCAACGACTTTCAAATATCCTTTTTCTGATAGCAGCATATAATAATTCTGGATTATTACTATACATATATAGTAAAACCATATTCTAGGAGAGCCTCAACAATTGGACAAATGTCCATACCCTTTTCCTCTACAGCCGCGCACCGCGATTTCAAGAGAGTTTCTGTTAGTTGCATTATTGATATCAGGACAATACTTCAAAACCTCTTCAACAATCAACAAAGAACCTATTCCAACAGCAAGTTGTAGTACGGATCTGTCAGTGTCCTGATTGTCAACTGCAGCTCCACATTCTAAGAGCAGTTTTATAACTGTTTTATGTCCGTTTCAATAGCAACATGAAGTGGGCTTAAATTATCCTTTGTGCTAGTATTAATATCAGCACCCCAATCCAGGAATAATTTCTCAGTTTCTACATTATATTTAATATAATAATTTTTTTTTTTAATACATAATATAATTTACATCAGCTCCATGTGTTAAAAGTAATTCAGTTATTTCCATTTTCCTATATGCAGTACCTATTCAATACGAAGGGAGAAGGGGAACTTTTTGACTTTTTTGAAACGAAATTGCGTTACCGGTCACTTCCGGTTTAACAGGATGTTCCCATAACCTTTGACGTTCAAGTGCCTACCCGCGGTACCTTTCAACTTTTTCGGCATCAACAATCATTTAAAAAAAAAAATACGTGTCTGGCACAACTTGATCAGTATGCTGTAGAAAACAATGGATTCAAATACATATTGGTTGTAATCGACTGTTTTTCCAAGTACCTTTGGACGCGTCTCATTAAATCAAAATCTGCACCAGATGTTGCCAACGCCATGGCGGAGATATTCAAAACATCTGGAAGAATTTCGAAGAAAATTATTTCAGATAATGGAAAGGAGTATTACAATGCTCAATTTGTAAGTCTAATGAAGAAATATGGAATACATCATTATAGTTGGTTTAGTCCTTCGAAAGCATCGATTGCCGAGAGAGTGATTCGAACCATTAAAGAAAAGCTGTTCAAGCAATTTACATTGAATGGGAACCATAAATGGCTGGATTTATTACGGCCTATAACTGATGCCTATAATGATAGCAAACATGGCACGTTACATATAAAGCCGAGTAAAGTGAATAAAAAGAATGAGAAGGCGATACTTGATGCTGTCTATAGTCATAGTCATATTAAAGTTGCCGGTAAGCAAAAGTTCAAGGTTGGTGACATTGTTCGCATAAGCAAGTATAAACATGATTTTCAAATACGCTATACCCCAAACTGGACTACATAGCTCTTTGAAATAGTCAAAGTTCATATTACGAATCCAATAACGTACCTGTTGGAAGACTTGCAAGGTCAACCGATAAGCGGTGGATTTTACGAGGAAGAGCTACAGAAAACAAAACAGCCAGACGTATTTCTCGTGGAGCAAGTGCTACGAAAAAAAGGCAACAAAATTATTGGAAATATTTGGACAGTATGATTTTGAAAAGTCGAATGGAAATTGCTCAAGAGAAACGTCTACTAAACGAAGTTAGTTACCATGTGAACAATTTCAAGTTGATTCTGAGCCTAAGCGTCGCTCGAGGAATACTGCCAGCAGTCAAAATAGTAAACTCCATGCTAAACTTGCCCGAAGATCAAACTTGCATAACTCTAGCCGATTTCGACTGGTATGAATTCCTGGAAAAGTTATCCAAGATGGTGAATGAAACTGCTGCTGGCGTCAAAGACTCTGCTGTGCCTGGTCAACAACAGGCGTTATCCGAGAATTACACTCTTTGTGTCGGATAGTTTTTCGGTGAACAAGCTTTAACTCTAACATCGAATAATTGTGCATTGTGTTTTTGTTTGGACGATATCAAACAAATTTTAACTGTTTGTCCTCTCATAAATTATAGATTAGAATAAGTCAAGGATTTAAATTTCATTGTATACTATCATGATTGCCTACAATATTTGAATGTAACTCACAATGTCAAAAACAGCAGCAATCTTTTGCAATCAATCATCAGCATGTGTAACTTGAACAAGTGTGAACGTAGCTGCTACTTTCTAGAACTTGCTACTATGAATCTAACCAAAATTGTTAGGGTTTTAGATAAGCTGGACGCGTGTTGTACCACCCCCAGATCAAATTAGTATTAGTATTAATAAATGACTATAAAAAACAGGATTGCTTTTTATTTTTTCACACTACAATAGCAACCTTTGAAGAGTCAAAATGTCCGAATATAGAATTACTGGTGGTGGTGGTGACGCCTGCTGCCATCATCAATCTTCCTGTTTAAGACAAGCTGCTACGTACTAGTTTAGAAACAGACGTGTACTTTTTACTTCGAGCACTTGAGCAAGAGCCCGCCACTAATGATTGGTTTTCTGCGCAAGCTGTGGAAAAATATGAAATTGGTGTCAAGTCTTGTAATCTTTTTCTGGCTAATTCCATCTCCTTGGAGGGCCTATGTGTGCTTATGAATCAGTATGGACTACATCAACAATTAAAACAGTATGGTGCTAAATATATGGGTGAAGATATTATTGCAAAATATATAGGTTACGATGAAGTTGACTAATTTCTATGCTGTTTTTCCAAATAAAAGTTTTCCCAATAAAAATTGTTTGCATTAAATTAACCATTGCACCAATTTATTGAGGATGTGTAAATGAATCTAAAATTCATTCAATTACTAACCATGATGGTGTCAAGTCAATCGTACTATGTTCTCTTGGTTGCCCTTGTGCAAAATAGTTTCTATGTACACAGACCGTACAATGTCCACAAAATGTCAATCGTGCTGGACTTTTCCGCAACGGATAACACAACATCATGGACAGAAATGCATTATGAAATAATAGATAAGGGTCTTTTAGCAGTTTTTACGACTCGTATACCGTCGTCGTCATTGGCGTACCTGCGTTATAAGGTGAGGCTGCATTTTCATGATAAAACTATTGGAGATACCGAATGGAGAACTCTCATCAGAGAACCACAACAGCAGCAGCAAGAAGAAACATACAATAATTCTACTAGGACTTTATTAGACGACATCGCACCGAAATCCACTTTAAATGTAGTCATATTTATTGCCATTTGCTGCATAATATTATTATTGAATTTTCCGTACAATATTGGAATTGGATATTAATGTCAGAGTCAAACTCCAGAAAAATTGTAGCAAGTCCTACTTTTCCCTCTCGAGAAGCGATGTGAAGTGCAGTGAATCCATTTTTGTCCCTAACATTTACATTGGCTCCTTTATTCAAAAGCATTGCGGTTATGTTTCGAGTTCCCTTCTGAGCTGAGATATGGAGTGCTATTCTGCCATATTCATCTCTACGAGACAATATCAGTCCCAAATTTCAATGTAGTCTCAATAATCTCTTGATGACCTTCTTTATTACCCAAAAGAAGTGGTGCGTTGTGAAATTGAAATTCAGAATCAAATTTGGCATTGCATTCTAGCAATAGTTTTACAACTCCTGCATGGCCGTTTTTAGCTGCAAGGTGCAGTGCAGTGATTCCATTTTTTCCTGCAGCATTTACATTGGCTCCTTTATTCAAAATCATTGTGCTAATTTCTAGATTTCCGTCCTGGGCAGATATATGAAGTGGAGTGAAGCCACTTTTCAGGGCCAAGTTAACATTTGCATTGTATTCCAAAAGAACTTCAACAACTTTTGCATATCCTTTTTTAGTGGAAGAAAGAAGTGTTGTTTTACCATATTCAGTTTGAACGTCTACATGGGCGCCTTTACTTAGAAGCAGTTTGGCGATTTCTCCCTTAACGTTACTATCAGGCTCTTTATTATTGAAAGAAAAGTCTGAAAAATTATCAGAACATAGAGAAGGGAAATAATCTCGGACTCGGAAATAATCATGCTGACCCGAAGCAGTGAAATGCAATGCTGTTCTTCCGTAGTTATCACAAGCATTTATATCAGCATCATGTTGCAGAAGAGCTTCAACGATTTCTTTCTATTCTTTCCTAACAGCAATATACAGTAGCTCAGGATCATCTTTAACAATAGCTCCATAAGTTAAAAGTAGCTTGATCATTTTTAAATCAACATTTTTAGTAGCATAAAATATTGGCGTTTTTCCAGTTTCGTCTTAAGTATTTATTTTAGCTCCGTAGCTAATCAACAGTTTAGCTATTTCTTCCTGTTCATTTTTGGCTGCATTATGTAAAGGTGTTAAACCTTCTTTAGTTGAATTGTGTAACATATTAATCTCAATATCATACTTTAATATGTCTTCAACGACTTTCAAATATCCTTTTTCAATAGCAGCATATTATAATTCTGGATTATCAGTATGTATAGTAAAACAATATTCTAGGAGAGCCTCAACAATTGGACAAATGTCCATAACCTTTTTCTCTACAGCCGCGCACTGCGATTTTAAGAGAGTTCCTGTTACTTGCATTATTGACATCGGGACAATACTTCAAAACCTCTTCAACAATCAACAAAGAACCTATTTCAACAGCAAAGTGTAGTACGGATCTATCAGTGTCCTGATTGTAAACTATAGCTCCACATTCTAAGAGCAGTTTTATAACTGTTTTATGTCCATTCTCAATAGCAACATGAAGTGGGCTTAAATTATCCTTTGTGCTAGCATTAATATCAGCACCCCAATCCAGGAATAATTTCACAGCTTCTACAATACCTCGTTTAGAAGCAAAATAAAGTGGCGTATATCCTTTCGATGTTAATGAATTGATAGAAGCACCATCATAGTTTAGAAGATCTTTGGCAATATGTATATTGAAATTTTTTTTCGCTTTCGAAGCACAAATATGCAGAGGGGTCATACTACTTTCAAAGTAGTAACTTTCTCCTTTAACATCAACACTAGCACCTCTACTTAAAAGCGATGTGACAATTTCTGTATTATTAATTAATATTATATTGAGTTGCAGTGCTATACAAAAACCTTTGACACACACAACTAATAAAACAAATTTATTTATTATTTATATTGTTTTTTTGATAGGTTCCAGTTACAATTTAGTATTATCTATTTGATAATCGATTTTATGAGTTTTGGTCATAATATGTTTTAATTGCAAATCCAACAAACTATACATAGGTACCTTTTTTTTTTTGGACAATCCAGCGTGAACGATTTTTTGGAACGAGTTGAGGAACTGTGGCGGTCACGAGGCATTTCGAAAGAACAACTGCTGCGTGCTTGTCCTGAACTTTTCGCTGGTGATGCCCTGTTATGGTACCGGACATGCAACTTTTCTGATTGGGATGATCTCGTGAGTCAACTGAGAGAATCTTTTCAGCCGTATGATTACGAATTTGCATTGTGGGATGAAATTCCTCAACGAAAGCAAGGAGCTCAGGAACGTGTACTTAACTATGTCGTAGCAATAGAAAATCTTTCTCGAAAAGTTTTTGAGGTTCCATCAGAACGAACAAAACTTAATATCATACGTCGAAATTTGTTACCACTTATTCAAAGTCGTCTTGCTACCTATGAGATTTCGGATATTCAGGATTTAATTCGATTATGTAAAGCTGTAGAGGAAAAAGAATCCCGTGTACCGAGGTTTGTTCCGCCTCCTACTGATGTCCGAAAATTACTAGAACCCGAACTAGCCTATAAAAAACCCTCGTATCATGCTGCCGTCAGATGTTGGCTCTGAAAGTACGACTTCAGGTTTCGCTGACGATCCTCAAGTAGAAACTCTAATTGATTCTATTAACTCCAATAGGACTCTAACATGTTGGAACTGTGAAGGATCAGGTCACCGGTTTCGTCAATGCCAACAATCTAAAACTGTGTTTTGTTATAAATGTGGCAAAAAGCAAGTGACAACTAAATCTTGCCCACGTTGTTCAAAAAACTTGACTCTGGCAGGGAATTAGGCCGGATTTCTTGCCTCTCACCTGAAATGGTCAATACTCTTGGAACTACAGCCGTTCTCAATTACATTCTTGCTCATGTCGAAGGCGACGAACGTCCTTTCTTGAAAGTAAAAATATTCGGAAAGAATTATTGGGTTTGTTGGACAGTGGTGCCTCAAAAACCATCCTTGGTTCTTCTGGATGGGAAATTCTGAAATCAATTTGTAAATTGCTACCCTCTCCAATTACGAACTGCGTGGTGGCCAATGGTCAAAACTGTTCCATTATTGGACTTGTTCGTCTACCCATAACTCTAAGAGACCGCTCTATTCTTCTGGATTACCTTGTAGTACCTTTGGTTCCACACACTCCTATATTAGGAGTTGATTTCTCTAAACGAATGGATATTGTCCCAGATCTCAATATTCTCAATGCTGGTGAATGATGTTTTAAATCAGAGGCTCATTCAGCCATCCCACTTATGTCACTACAATCCTTTGATAACCTAAGTTCTGAGCAGCGCGATATACTTGATAGTCTATTGGACAGCATATTTTCAATGATGGAAAATAAACTAGGCTGTACAAACCTTGTTCAGTTAGTCATAAAAACTGAATCCCCACCTATCAAGCAACGATACTATCCCTTGTCTCCGGCGTTGTTAAAAACCGTACATAAGGAACTAGAGCAGATGATCGCAGATGACATTCTCGAACCTTCCAACTCTCCTTGGTCGTCACCGATCGTTATAGTGGAAAGAAAGTCTGGAAATTGGAGATTTTGCGTTGGTTATCGTAGCCTGAATCGTGTAACCATTCCAGATGCTCATCCGATCCCCTGTATCAGTGCGACACTCGACAAATTTCGAGATGCCAAATTTCTTAGCACGCTTGATATCAAGTCTACATATTGGCAAATTCCTGTTGCCCCAGAATCACGTCCGCTAACTGCATTCACTATTCCATCACGTGAGCTATATCAATTTAACCCGGGAGTACACGCGTGCCGGTCAAAAGGACCAAATATTGATAAAATCAGTAATTACGCTACTAGTACAATGGTGACAGTTTTGTCCATCCAGGAATGCCTGATGCAGGTTTTCCACTACCCATTGGCCCAAAGATATTTTGGTTTTTGGTTGAAGAAGGGTTCGTTGTTTTCATAGTCGGTGCTTTTGACTAGGCGCGTGAACCTGAGTATCTGAAATATTTGTGTTCAAAATTGGAATTTTCTGATATTGGGAGTACTTTTGGCTATTGTACTATTGATTAGTAAACTTGCGTAGGTCATACCTTAGCGTTCAGGATAAGCTTGGGATCGTTTCCGCGAAAAACGCTAATAATTCACATAAACTTTTGGGCAGTCGGTCGATTTGTCTGAACGCGTGTAACGACGTAAGTGTACGGCCACACAGAACGCGTTTGAAGCGGCATTAACGCGCTTGGCGACTAAAGTGTTTGGAACGTCTTATGCTACTAGAATTAAAATAATGTAATATATAGCGAGTGGCCCGACAAGACGCTTCTTGCGTTTTGCGCTTCTTAAGCTATAGACGAAAAAGAATTTATATCGCAAATGAAAACAAATCAGTTTGTTTTTTGAGCGCGTTCAGCGTGCGTTCTTTGACGATTTATGCCTAGTTTTCTTTCATTTAGGTATTTGAAATGTCTTTTCAATATTTAAGTCAAAGGTTTCAATGGTTATTCTATAGTATTCAAAAAATTTATCAGGATGTTGCCACAACTGGAGAAAAAAGTATGAAATTCACCCTTTGTGGTTCTCTCTTGGTTCATGGACCCACTCAGAGAGTCTCATCACCATAATCTTATTCAAGATTTATGTTCTCGGTACGTCATATCTTTCGTAATTATCACTCCTCGACATACCTAAAGAAACTGCATAGTACAAACAAGCAACACGCAGCTTCTTTTCTTCTTTGGACACAACTCGCAAGAAAATCTTCGAACGCATAAAAAGCATATGAAGTAGACGCCAAAACGCATTCAATGCCGCTTGAATCGCTTTCTGTGTGGCCGTACACTAAGTTTTTTGGCGCGTGTAATGCCGGGTTAAACGTATGGCAACGGCTTATCGACAGAGTCGATGGAGTAGACCTCGAGAAGTAGGTTTTCGTCGATTTAGATGACGTAATAATATGCACATCGGCCTCTGACGAGCATATGCGAGTCTTAAGAGAAGTAATGAAGCGTAATTTCGACGCTCGTATTGAATCGTGAGAGATGCCAGATATGTAAGCCGGTGCTGAAGTATCTTGGATATGTAGTTAATTCTTCAGGTCTTTTGGTGGATCCTGGCAAAGTTGAGGCTATCCTTGAAATTCCCACTCCTACCACTGTTTCAGAGGTACGTCGGATTATTGGTATGGCATCATGGTATCGCAGATTTGTGCCTAATTTTTCTACCGTTATGTAACCATTGACAGCTCTTACCAGGAAACATGTAAAATTTGCATGGGATTCTGATTGTGAGAAGGCGTTGTTTCAAACAGTCAAAGAATATCTCATTAAAGCCTCGGTTCTTTCTTGTCCTGATTTTAATCTTCCCTTCTCCGTTCAATGCGACGCATTCGACTTTGGGTTGGGTGCCGTACTTTCTCAAAATCACGATGATGAAGAGCATGTAATTTGCTATCTAAGTAGATCCTTGACCAAAAATGGGCGAAAATATTCGACGACTGAAAAGGAATGTTTAGCCGTCCTTGTTCGCTAGTGAAAAGTTAAGACCCTACTTGGTAGGAACCAAGTTCACCGTAATTACAGACCATTACATCCTATAATGGCTTAACAGTATTAAAGACCCCGTATGTCTGGCAAGTGAAAAATTGAAGATCCCAAAATTTTCAGCCAGACTCACTTTCCACTATCTGAGTTAAGCCAAATTGCTATTTTCATATACTTTATGTTCTATTGTAGTAAATGTGAAATATTTATGTCTAGGAAAATAGGTGTACTTGTATTTTTCATTGATCTTGTGAACCCATCCAAAAATTCTTGTTTTGTATTACCAGGGGAACAAGCTATTTGATAGATACCAACTGGGAAAATAAGTGCTAAAAAATTTCACGTACAAGTTCTCACTAAACCAATGCACTGAAGTCTGTTCGTTTCTTGTTTCTTAATTCTTCATTGGCCTTTCTTGACGTAATCGCCACGATGGTGATGGTGACTCCGAGAAGTGTAGGTAAGTGGGACCTCGTGTCTAGTAATCTAGCATCTTATCCCTTTTGTCCTAAAGTTGATACCACAGGGCCAACAAAGACGCGTCGCTACGCCTACACTGACCTAAGCAAACCAACGACCAGACCATATTCGCCTGGATAAATAATCAAAGCGCCCCAACCAGAGCCATGGTGTATGTTTTGCCATGCCTGCCTTCAAGAATCCAGTGAGTTTCAACACCCCAGCTTACCCAGAGCACACTGTGCATTCAGTGCCCATTTGATAAGCTCAAAAAAACAATCTATTAAAAATTTTATAACCACTGTACATCTGGTAGATTGGAAAAAGCAACTTTCATTTAAACAGTCACTAAGGTCCAGCAGAGACCACTTGACATATTGTATCTACCCCTCGGTCTAGCCCTAAAATATATTTATTAGAAAATGTATTTGCTCGGACTTCAAAGGAAAATCTCGTGAAAATTCTTTTTGTGGAATTTTTTACTTATTCTCTTATTCTGCCTTTGGCTCATATCTGGATTGAAACTTTCCATTGTTTAATGAAGCTACAGTCTACAACTGTTGTCAATAAATATAATGAAAAGACCATGGATTTTATATCCACCTACTCAGCTTACTGTTTGTAAAGATTCTTTGTATGTATAATTGTTGAATTATTTATCTATTCTGCCTCTGGCTTATATCGGGATTGAAACTTTCCATTGCTGATGTAGCACGAAGCTACAGAGAGTAGTCGAACATATTGTAACTGTTGACCACAAATAAAATAACTCTCTAATCAGTGGCTGAAGCTCTAGAATAGTATATATTATAATTTAATTTATGATTTTTCTATATTTCTAATATTATCAGATTGTATACTTTACTCGCTTGTGGTAACTTGATTATTTAAACCTATTTTTGTTGTTACTCAATCTGATAAATATTTTCTTGAGATCTAGTATCATTACTATATATATCATCATATTCAAACAGTCACAAATGTCCAGAGGCTACTTGACATTCTGTCTACCCCTTGATACACCCATAAAAAATATTGATTAGACAATGTTTATGTCACACAAACCTCTTTTTTTATAAGTATAAACTAAAAAAATATAAACTGAAAAATCTCCTAAATACTCTTAGTGTGGAATTTTTTACTTATTCTACTCTTCTGCCTTTGGCTCATATCTGGATTAAATCTTTCCATTATCAATACAACCAAAACTTATTAAGTTGTTACTGAATCTTCGGAAAGGTTTCTTCCCCTTGTCCGCCCTCAAACTGGATCCGCATGCACAATCGACTCTAAAATCAATTATCGGTTTCGCCTTTAATGGTTGAAGGCTTTTCCAGCCTCCAAATTCCAAGGAAAATCTCGGTAATGATTTTTTGTGTGGAATTTGGTACTTATTCTCCTGTTCTGCCTTTGGCTCATATCTGGATTGAAACTTTCCATTGTTTAATAAAGCCACAGTCTACAACTAACTGTTGTCAATAAATATAATGAAATTCAAGTTAAAATTTTAATTTACGTTTTCTTACCAAGTATTTTATGTCCACCTACTCAACTTACTATTTGTAAAGATTCTTTGTATTTAGAATTTTTCAATTATTTATCTATTCTGCCTCTGGCTTATATCGGGATTGAAACTTTCCATTGCTGATGTAGCATGAAGCTACAGAGAGTAGTCGAACATATTATAACTGTTGACCACAAATAAAATAACTCTCTAATCAGGGACTGAAGCTCTAGAATACTATATATTAGAATTTAATTTATGATTTTTTCATATTTCTAATATTATCAGATTGTATACTTTACTCGCTTGTGTTAACGCGATTATTAACACCTAATTTTGTTGTTACTCAATCTGATAAATATTTTCTTAAGATTTAGTATCATTACTATGTATATCATTACATTCAAACAGTCACAAATGTCCAGAGGCTACTTGACATTGTGTCTACCTCTTGATTTACCCATAAAAATTATTGATTAGACAATATTTATATCACACAAACCTCTTTTTTATAAGTATAAAACTAAAAAAATATAAACTGAAAAAATCTCTTAAAGACTCTTCTGCCTCTGCATTTGCCTCAAATCTAGATTAAATCTTTCCATTGTCGATACAACCAAAACTTATTAAGTTATGACTGAATCTTCGGATCGGTTTCTTCCCCTTGCCGCCCTCAAGCAAACTGAATTCGCATGCACAATCGACTCTAAAATCAAATATCGGTTTCGCCTTTGATGAATGAAGGCTTCTCCAGCCTCCAACTTCAAAGGAAAATCTCGGTAATGATTCTTTGTGTGGAATTTGGTACTTATTCTCCTGTTCTGCTTTTGACTCATATCTGGATTGAAACTTTCCATTCGATGAAGCCACAGTTTACAACTGTTGTCAATAAATATAATGAAATTCAAGTTAAAATTTTAATTTTCTTTTTCTAAGCATTTATTTTATATCCACCTACTCAACTTACTATTTGTAAAGATTCTTTGTATCTAGAATTTTTCAATTATTTATCTATTCTGCCTCTGGCTTATATCGGAATTGAAACTTTCCATTGCTGATGGGACTAGCCGGAGTGCCGTATCATACTCGCTGTAGGTATGAAAACAACATTACTGATAATGCTGATCATACCAGCCATAACATCCCTGGCGTTTTGGATATTGTTACCAAAACCATTTACCCCCACAAGAATCCACTGGAAAAGCTGGACAACCGGACGATCAAGTTATACTCGAAAACGAGGAGATGTCTTTGAGAAGGAAATTTTTATCTTATTCCTGGTCTAATGAAATACATGATACCTATTGGTCTCATTTACCTATTTGAATATTTCATTAATCAGGACACATTTGAACTAATTGAGTTTCCTGACACTCCGATATCATTAAAATCCCAGAATAGATGGATGCAAGTTACATATCAAGTGGGAGTCTTTACAACACGATCGTCTGTTTCGATATGGCACATAAAACAAACATGGATACTGACGGTATTGCAGGGTATCAATGTGATAATTTTGACAACACAAGTAATTTACTATTACATACCAAACATAAAAAATTGCGCTTACATATCAGCTGGAACAATTTTGTTGGCTGACATTCTTCCGGCTCTACTCGTGAAACTGGTACTTCCTTTATTACCATCCGTAAGTTCGTAGTGAACACACGAGTAGCGATTTGCGTTGGTGTGACCACAGTCGGATATCTTATGGTCGGATTCAGCAAAAGTATTGATATATCAATATTTGGAGTTATACTAATCTCGTTTTGTTACGGTTTAGAAGAAGTTACTTATCTCTAGTACAGCGCTAATTATGAGAGAAGTGTTCTATCGGCATGGAGCTCCGGTTCAGATGGAGCCGGCCGGACTGCTGTAGCATGAATCTACAGAGAGTAGTCGAACATATTGTAACTGTTGACCACAAATAAAATAACTCTCTAATCAGTGGCTGAAGCTCTAGAATACTATATATTATATTTAATTTATGATTTTTTTATATTTCTAATATTATCAGATTGTATACTTCACTCGCTTATGTTAACTCAATTATTAAACCTATTTTTGTTGTTACTCAATCTGATAAATGATTTCTTGAGATCTAGTATCATTACTATGTATATCATTACATTTAAACAGTCACAAATGTCCAGAGGCTACTTGACATTGTGTCTACCTCTTGATGTACCCATAAAAAATATTGATTAGACAATGTTTATATCACACAAACCTCTTTTTTTTATAAGTATTAACTAAAAGAAAAAAAACTGAAAAAATCTCCTAAAGACTCTTAGTGTGGAATTTTTCACTTATTCTGCTCTATTCTGCCTTCGGCTCATATCTGGATTAAATCTTTTCCATTGTCGATACAACCAAAACTTATTAAGTTATGACTGAATCTTCGGAACGGTTTCTTCCCCTTGTCCGCCCTCAAACAAACTAGATCCGCATGCACAATCGACTCTAAAATCAAATATCGATGTCGCCTTTAATGGTTGAAGGCTTTTCCAGCCTCCAACTTCAAAGGAAAATCTCGGTAATGATTCTTTGTGTGGAATTTTGTACTCATTCTCCTGTTCCGCCTTTGGCTCATATCTGGATTGAAACTTTCCATTGTTCAATGAAGCCAAAGTCAACAACTGCTGTCAATAAATATAATGAAATTCAAGTTAAATTTTTAATTTACGTTTTCTAACCATGGATTTTATATCCACCTACTCAACTTACTGTTTGTAAAGATTCTTTGTATGTAGAATTTTTCAATTATTTATCGATTCTGCCTCTGGCTTATATCGGGATCAAAACTTTCCATTGCTGATGTAGCATGAAGCTACAGAGAGTATTCAAACATATTGTAACTGTTGACCACAAATAAAATAACTCTCTAATTAGTGGCTGAAGCTCTAGAATACTATATATTATATTTAATTTATTATTTTTTTTTATATTTCTAATATTTTCAGATTGTATACTTCACTCGCTTTTGTTAACTCGATTATTTGAACCTATTTTTGTTGTTACTCAATCTGATAAATATTTTCTTGAGATCTAGTATCATTACTATGTATATCATTACATTTAAACAGTCACAAATGTCCAGAGGCCACTTGACATTGTGTCTACCCCTTAATGTACCCATAAAAAATATTGATTAGACAATGTATATTTCATACAAACCTCTTTTTTTATAACCATAAACTAAAAAAAATAAAAACTGAAAAAAATCTCTTGAAGATTCTTAGTGTGGAATTTTTTACTATTTTCCTCTTCTGCCTTTGGCTCATATCTGGATTTAATCTTTCCATTGTCGATACAACCAAAACTTATTAAATTAGCATGACCAAGGATGACTGAATGTTCGGAACAGTTTCCAGTTCTTCCCCTTCTCCGCTCTCAAACAAACTAGATCGGCAAGCACAATCGACTATAAAATCAAATTAGGTCTCGCCTTTAATGGTTGAAGGCTTCTCCAGCCTCTAACTTCAAAGGAAAATCTCGTAAAGATTCTTTGTGTGGAGTTTTTTACATATTTTCCTCTTCTGCCTTTGGCTCATAGCTGGATTAAATCTTCCCCTGGTCCGCCCTCAAACACACTAGCTCTGCAAGCACGGATTCTAAAATCGAATTAGGTTTCGCCTTTGATGGTTGAAAGTCGATCATCGTCTAATGAAGCTACAGTGTACAACTGTTGTCAATAAATGTAATGAAAATGGAGTAAAGTTTTAATTAACGTTCTCTTACCATAGATTTTATATCCACCTACTGAAATTACTATTTTTAAAAATTTTGTGTGTGGAATTTTCTAATTATTTTCTATTCTGCCTCTGGCTCATATCAGGATTTAAACTTTCCATTGCTGATGAAATTACAAAGTAGTTCAACATGTAACTGCTGTCAATAAATATAATGAAAATCGAGTAAAATTTAAATTTACGTTTTCTAACCATGAATTTTATATCCTCCTACTCAAACAAAACTGATACAACCAAAACTTATTAGGTTACCATGACCAAGGATGACTGAATCTTCGAAACAGTTTTTCAGTTCTTCCCCTTGTCCACCCTCAAACAAATTAGTTAGGCAAGCACAATTGACTCCAAAGTCAAATTAGGTTTCACCTTTAATGGTTGACGGCCTCTTCAGGCTCCAACTTCAAAGGAAAATCTCGTAAAGATTCTTTATGTGGAATTTTTTACATATTTTCCTCTTCTGCCTTTGGCTCATAGCTGGATTAAATCTTCCCCTGGTCCGCCCTCAAACAAACTAGCTCCACAAGCACGGATTCTAAAATCAAATTAGGTTTCGCTTTTGATGGTTGAAAGTCGATCATCGTCTAATGAAGCTACAATGTACAACTGTTGTCAATAAATATAATGAAAATGAAGTAAAGTTTTAATTAACATTTTCTTACCATGGATTTTATATCCACCTACTGAAATTACTATTTGTAAACACTTTGTGTGTGGAATTTTCTAATTATTTTCTATTCTGCCTCTGGCTCATATCAGGATTTGAACTTTCCATTGCTGATGAAACTACAAAGTAGTTCAACATGTAACTGCTGTCAATAAATTTAATGAAAATCAAGTAAAATTTAAATTTACGTTTTCTAACCATGGATTTTATATCCTCCTACTCAAACAAAACTGATACAACCAAAACTTATTAGGTTACCATGACCAAGGATGACTGAATCTTCGGAACAGTTTTTCAGTTCTTTTCCTTGTCTGCCGTCAAACAAACTAGATACGCGAGCCCAATCGACTCTAAAGTCAAATTAGGTTTCACCTTTAATGGTTGAAGGCTTCCCCAGGCTCCAACTTCAAAGGAAAATCTCCTAAAGATTCTCTGTGTGGAATTTTTTACATATGTTCCTCTTTTGCCATTGGCTCATAGCTGGATTAAATCTTCCCCTGGTCCGCCCTCAAATAAACTAGCTGCGCAAGCACGGATTCTAAAATCAAATTAGGTTTCGCCTTTGATGGTTGAAAGTCCATTGTCTAATGAAGCTACAGTGTACAACTGTTGTCAATAAATATAATGAAAATGGAGTAAAGTTTTAATTAACGTTCTCTTACCATGAATTTTATATCCACCCACTGAAATTACTATTTGTAAACATTTTGTGTGTGGAATTTTCTAATTATTTTCTATTCTGCCTCTGGCTCATATCAGGATTTAAACTTTCCATTGCTGGTGAAACCACAAAGTAGTTTAACATGTAACTGTTGTCAATAAATATAATGAAAATCAAGTAAAATTTAAATGTACGTTTTCTAACCATGGATTATATATCCTCCTAGTCAAACAAAACTGATACAACCAAAACTTATTAAGTTACCATGACCAAGGATGACTGAATCTTCGAAACAATTTTTCAGTTCTTCCCCTTGTCCACCCTCAAACAAACTAGATACGCAAGCACAATCGACGCTAAAGTCAAATTAGGTTTCACCTTTAATCGTTGAAGGCTTCTTCAGGCTCCAACTTCAAAGGAAAATCTCGTAAAGATTCTTTGTGTGGAATTTTTTACATATTTCCTTCTTCTGCCTTTGGCTCATAGCTGGAATAAATCTTCTCCTGGTCCGCCCTCAAACAAACTAGCTCCGCAAGCACGGATTCTAGAATCAAATTAGGTTTCGCCTTTAATGGTTGAAAGTCCATTGTCTAATGAAGCTACAGTGTACAACTGTTGTCAATAAATATAATGAAAATCAAGTAAAATCTGAATTTACATTTTCTAACCATGGATTTTATATCCTCCTACTCAAACAAAACTGATCCAACCAAAGCTTATTAGGTTACCATGACCAAGGATGACAGAATCTTCGAAACAGGTTTTCAGTTATTCCCCTTGTCCACCCTCAAACAAACTAGATACGCAAGCACAATCGACTCTTAAGTCAAATTAGGTTTCACCTTTAGTGGTTGAAGGCTTCTTCAGGCTCCAACTTCAAAGGAAAATCTCGTAAAGATTCTTTATGTGGAGTTTTTTACATATTTTCCTCTTCTGCCTTTGGCTCATAGCTGGATTAAATCTTCCCCTGGTCCGCCCTCAAACAAACTAGCTCCGCAAGCACGGATTCTAGAATCAAATTAGGTTTCGCCTTTAATGGTTGAAAGTCCATTGTCTAATGAAGCTACAATGTAGAACTGTTGTCAATAAATATAATAAAAATGAAGTAAAGTTTTAATTTACATTTTCTTACCATGGGTTTTATATCCACCTACTGAAATTACTATTTGTAAACACTTTTTGTGTGGAATTTTCTAATTATTTTCTATTCTGCCTCAGTTAAACATGTAACTGTTGTCAATTGATATAATGAAAATCAAGTAAAATTTAAATTTACGTTTTCTAACCATGGATTTTATATCCTCCTACTCAAACAAAACTGATACAACCAAAACTTATTAAGTTACCATGACCAAGGATGACTGAATCTTCCAAACAGTTTTTCAGTTCTTCCCCTTGTCCACCCTCAAACAAACCAGATACGCAGGCACAATCGACGCTGAAGTCAAATTAGGTTTCACCTTTAATCGTTGAAGGCTTTTTCAGGCTCCAACTTCAAAGGAAAATCTCCTAAAGATTCTCTGTGTGGAATTTATAACATATTTTCCTCTTCTGCCTTTGGCTCATAGCTGGATTAAATCTTCCCCTGGTCCGCCCTCAAATAAACTAGCTCCGCAAGCGCGGATTCTAAAATCAAATTAGGTTTCGCCTTTGATGGTTGAAAGTCCATTGTCTAATGAAGCTACAGTGTTGTCAATAAATATAATGAAAATGGAGTAAAGTTTTAATTAACGTTCTCTTACCATGGATTTTATATCCACCCACTGAAATTACTATTTGTAAACATTTTGTGTGTGGAATTTTCTAATTATTTTCTATTCTGCCTCTGGCTCATATCAGGATTTAAACTTTCCATTGCTGTTAAAACTACAAAGTAGTTTAACATGTAACTGTTGTCAATAAATATAATGAAAATCAAGTAAAATTTAAATTTACGTTTTCTAACCATGGATTATATATCCTCCTAGTCAAACAAAACTGATACAACCCCAGAAATACCCACATTTGAGGCATCACAAGTAACAATTATTGGCAAATCTGGGTCAAAATGGTTGTAAATTGGATGTAACAAGGTGGATAAATTTGGTATAAATTTAGAATAATAATTGACCATTCCAGCAAACGATCTTACCTCGGACACATTCTTCGGTATTGGTGCTTCTTCAATTGCTTTAATTTTGTCGCTTGTTTTCTTAATGCCTTCTTTGCTAATTTAATGACCTAAATAATTTACTTCTCTCTGAAAGAAATAATATTTTTCTTTTCTCAATGTGAAACCTGCCTCTGTCAACCTTTTGAAGACCAACTCCAAGTTTTTCAGGTGTTTCTCTGTGGTTTCTCTAGTGATGATTAGGTCGTCCAAAAATGAACATACTCCATCAATACCCTGTATGAGCTGGTCCATTATACGTTGAAAAATTGCTGTAGCCGTTTTAATTCCAAATGGTAATCTCTTGTGGCGAAAAAGCCCCAGTTGGGTATTCCAGGCTAAGATTCCTGAGGTTTCTTCGTCCACTTCTATCTGGTTGTATGCTGATCTGATGTCAATTTTTGAAAAATACTCTCCTCCATTCAACTTGGCAAAGACTTCCTCTATTCTCGCTAATGGATAGATGACCTCTT